AAAAAAAAAAAAAAAAGAAGCAACTTGGTAAGCAAGAAGGTAATAGTAACTTTAAAGCTGAGAAAATTTTAATCACGGGCTATTTGGTGTCCCTACAGGATGCTAAAGAGAACATATTAGCATGTGACTTTGAGTTGTTTTTCAGGAACCCTGGCCAGACCTTAGATAAGGAGGAACTGAGGATTGAATCTTGACCACTGTTCTTGATTCTACATTTCTTCCTGAGAGGCCTAGAAATCCCACCCAGGAGCCCGAGCTGACATTCTTTTCTGCTGACCCTAACAATTTAAGCAAAATATCTCTTCCTTCAGCAATTGCAACTCAGAAAATCTTTGAATCTGCCCATGACCTCTAAACCTCCCTGCTTCAAGATATCCTGCTCTTTTAGGCCAAAACCACTGTGTAACCTCCATGTGTTAATTTCCAACTTGCCTGTCATTTCTGCTTTACTGAAATTTATCCCTGACTTTAAAAACCGTTACTTGAGAGTCATCAAGGAGGTTGGAGTTAAATGTCAGCTGCTGATTCTTCTTGTTTGGCACCCTGCAAATAAACACTTTCCTTTCTCTCACTGCAAAACCTCAGTGTGGGTATCTGGCCTTCTGCTCCAAGCCAGTTTGGTTCGATGGCACGAATGGTCTTCTTTTTATTTCTGAGTTAGTGGCCCACAGTTGTCCTTTGGCGCTTGCTTATTTACTGTTCTGTGACTGTTCGCTAGACTCCCTTGCTGGTGCATTTGTCTTTACTAGTCGGCAAGAAAGAGTGTTAGCTCACTAAGGCAGGCATGTTCATCTTGTTTCTTTGTGTTCTTCACAGTGTATGCCCATCATAAAGTTTCTCAGGAAAAAAAGTTTATTTGGTTAATTATAAATTTGCTCCCCATATTTTATAGCATAAATCCTGAAGAGAGTGTGTTGAGATAATTTTTTTATTGAAAAAAAAGAAAAAATATCCCTAAGCATTCCATCTTGTTCTCTACTACTTGCATGTAATAGCTGACACTAAGGTATCAGGAAAATCTGTATGCAGGTAGCACAAGGTTAAGTTACTACAGCATGCTTTGTGGCCCATGTCAGTATAAATTTCTGTAGGTACAGCGTGAAATAAGGTTTTACTAGACAAGGGAAGAGAAGTAACATGGATTGGAGACAAGCATTTTACCTGAACAAAGATCTGTTTCTGATAACTAATGCCTCTGAACAACTTTATTCCCAAGGTCTAAATAATACCCCAGGAAGATGAATTGGTTTTCTAAAAGTGCATGCACGCGCATGCGCGCACGCACACGCGCACACACACACACACACACACACACACACACACACACACTATATCATATTATATATGCGATGCCATGTTTATTCAATGACTAACTTTATTGTGATTTTCTATTGGCCTGAGTGGAAAATTGTCTCCTTGTTATATAGGTAGAGAGCTATTTAAGAAATGCTGTTTAATTGATTTCTTTCTTAAAATTTTATTTGGTTGGTTGGATTTTTAAAAAATTGGTTTTCTTCTTTTTCTTTTCGTTTCAATAGAGACAGCATCTTGCTATGTTGCCCAGGCTGGTCATGAACTCCTAGCTTCAAGCAATCCTTCTGCCTTGGCCTTTCAAAGTGCTGGGATTATGGGTGTGAGCCACTGTGCCTGGTCCTCTTTAGTTGATTTCTGTCTTAGAATCTGGGTCTTCTGCTGTGCCACAGCCTAAAAGTCACTAGGAATTAGAACAGTGATGAAAATGACATAAGGTATTCAGAGCCCTAGTTTTTTGTTATCAAAGATTAAAAACCAGTTGCTTACATTTACTAGTTAGATGGACTTGTTTCTGTGTTACCTGTTTCTCTCATTGTTAAAATGCAAAATGCAGGGTGTGGTGGCTCACACCTGTAAAATCCAGCACTTTGAGAGGCCAAAGCAGCAGGGTTGCTTGAGCCCAGGTGTTTGAGACCGGTCTAGGCAACATAGCAAGACCTCATCTCTACAAAAATAAATAAATAGAAAAGAATTAGCTGGGTATAGTGGCGTGTGCCTGTAGTCCCAGCTACACTGAAGGCTGAGGTGGAAGGATCGCCTGAGCCAGGAGGTTAAAGCTATGGTGATCTGCAATCGTGTCACTGTACTGGGTTTCAGAGTGAGACTCTGACTCAAAAAAACCCAAAAACCCCAAAATATGTAAAACCCAATATGTAAAATGCAGATTGCATTGATGTGTTAAAGATTTTCTTTGTGTTTAGGTACAAAGAGGATGGTGAAGCTTTATTAATTTTACTTCCCTCAGAAGAAAAAGCTATGGTGCAGCAGCTTCTTCAGAAGAAAGTACCTGTGCAGGAAATCAAGTAAGAGCTACTTGTTGTCTTTATGTTACTAGAAAAATGAAATTATTATGTACAACTGATTCCTACCTCCCCCTAATCGATTCAGCTGCTTTGTTTTTTTATTTAAAAAAAAACCAAACACCTATCTTTTTAGAGTAGATAAGTTCACAGGGAAATTGAGAGGAAGGTACAGTGAGTTCTCATATACTCTCTGTTCCCCACACATATAGCCTCTCCCGTTATCAGCATCCCTCACCAGAGTGGTGGTCTATCTGTTTCAAGTGACCAGCCTTCACTGGCACATCATATCACCCCAAGTCCATAGTGGACGTTAGGGTGCACTCTTGGCGTTATACATTCTGTGGGTTTAGACAGTTGTGTTGACATTGTCGACTGTTACAGTGTCATATGGGATTTTCACTGTCCTGAAAGTCCCGCTCTGCCTGTTCATCCGTCTCTTCTCCCCCAGTCCCGGCAGCTACTGATCTTTTTTCCATCTCTGTAGTTTTATCTTTCCAGAATGTCATGTAGTTGGAATTACACGGTACATAGTGTTTTCATATTGGCTTTTTTCACTTAGCAGTATGCACTTAAGGTTCCTCCGTGTCTTTTTGTGGCTTGATCAGACATTATTTTTTGTATTGAATAATATTCCACTGTCTGGCTATAACAGTTTATTTATCTGTTCGCCTACTGAAGGATATCTTGATTACTTCCAAGTTTCGGATATTCTGAATAAAACTGCTATAGCCATTTGAGTGAAAGTAGAATTTAAGTTTTTGACTCCTTTGGGTAAATACTACCAAGGAGCATTGTTGCAGGACCAGGGTATGCTTGGAAGACAGTTTGGTAGTTTCTTAGAAAACCAAAGTGGCTACACTATTTTGCATTCCTGACAGCAGTGAATGAGAGTTCCTGTTGCTCCATATCTTGTCAGCATTTGTAGATAATCTTTATGAAGTTGAGGAAGTTCTCCCTCATTCTTACTTTACTGAGTTTTTAAAAAATCATGAATAGGTATTGGAGTTTGTAAAATGTCTTTTCTTCATCTAGTGATATGATCATGTGATTTTTCTTTTTTGGCCTGTTGATGTGATAGATACATTAATTTTTTTGGAATATTAAACCAGTATTACTGGGATAAATCCCACTTGGTTGTGGTATATGATTACTTTTATCCATTGTTAGATTCAGTTTGCTAATATTTTGTTAGATTTATATCTAAGTATTTCATTTTTAGGGGTGTTAATGTGAATGGTACTACATTTTTACTTTCAAATTCCACTTATTCATTGCTAGTAAATAGGAAAGTGATATACTTTTGTATACTAACCTTGAGTATTGTGATTTTGCTCTAATTGCTTATTAGTCCAGAAATTTTTCTTCATTCATGGGGTCTCACTCTGTCATCTAGGCTGGAATGCAGTGGTGCAATCCTAGATCACTGTAGCCTTGAACTCTTGAGCTCAAGCCATCCTCCCGCTTCAGCCTCCCGAATAGCTGGGATTATAGGCATGAGCCACATCTCCTGGCTTGGATTTTCTACATAGATGGTCATGCTATCTTCAGACAGAGACAGTTTTATTCCTTCTTTCCCAGTGACTATATCTTTTATTTCCATGTCTTATTGCATTAGTTCTGACTTCCAGAACAATGTTGAACAGCAGTGATGAGAGGGACCTATTTTGTCTTTTTCCTGATCTTAGTGGGATCAGGAAAAGAAAACTGATCTTCCAGTTTCTTACCATTAAGTATGATGTTAGCAGTAAGTTTTTTTTTTTTGTTGAGAACTTTTGCATCTATCATTATGAGAGATAATGGCCTATAGTTTCTTCCCCCTGTTATATCTTTGTTTTTGGTGATGTTGGCCTCATAGAATGAGTTAGGAAATATTCCCTCTGCTTCTGTCTTCTGAAAGAGATTGTAGGAAATTGGTATAATTTCTTTCTTAAATGTTTAGTAGATTTTATAGGTGAACCCATCTGGACTTGATTCAGTTTCCTCAATACATATTGTCCCATTCAGATTGTCTGTTTCTTCTTGTATGAGTTTTGGCAGATTTTGTCTTTCAAGGGATCGGTTCATTTTATCTATGTTATCAAATTTGTGAGCATCGAGGTGTTCATGATATTCTTTCAATTCTTCTAATGCCCATGGAATTTACAGTGATATAGTGATGTTTCTTCTTTCATTTCATTTTGTTTTTTGAGTCAGGGTCTCACTCTGTTGACCAGTGTGTAGTATGGTGGAATGATCACGGCTCACCACAGTCTCAACCTCCTGGGTTCAGGCAGTCCTCTGTCTCAGCTTGCTGAGTAGTTGGGACTAGAGGTGCTTGCCACCACACCTGACTGATATTTTGATTTTTTTGTAGAAACGAGGTCTCTCTATGTTGCCTAGGCTGGTCTGGAACTCCTGGGCTCAAGCAGTCCTCTTGCCGCAGCCTCCCAGAGTGCTGGAGTTACAGGTGTGAGCCACTGTGCCCAGTCTTTCATTTGTGATAATAATTTATATCCTTGCTTTTTTTTTTTTTTTCAAAATCTGACTAGAGGCTTATTAATTTTTTATTTTTTTCAAAGGACCAGATCTCTTGGTTTCATTTTTTTCCTTTTTTTTTAGTCAGGGTCTCACTCTGTTGCCCAGGCTAGAGTGCAGTGGCACCAGCCTGTGGGCTTAGGTAATCCTTCCTTCTTTAGTCGCTGGGACTACAGGTGCACGCCACAATGTCTTGATAATTTTTGGTAGAGATAAGGTCTTGCTATGTTGCCCAGGTTGGTCTTGAACACCTGGGCTCAAGTGATCCGACCCCCCTTGGCCTCACAGAGTGCTGGGATTACAGGTGTGAGCCACTGTGCCCAGTTGATTTCCTGTTTTCAATTTCATTTATTTTTGCTCTAATTCTCATTTCTTTTTCTTCTTTTTTTGGGGGGGGGATTTGGAGTCTCACTCTGTCGCCCAGAGTGGGGTACAGTGGCCGCTCCTGGCACCGCAGCCTTGACCTGCTGGGCTTCAGTGATCCTTCCGCCTCAGCCTTCCAAGCAACTGGAACTACAGGTGTGTGCTACCACGCCTGGCTAATTTTTTGATTTACTGTAGAGATGAGATCTTGCCAAGTTGCCCAGGTGGGTCTCGAACCCGTGGGCTCAGGCAATCCACTCATCTCAGCCTCCCAAAGCGTGGGATTACAGGTTGAGCCACCAGCCCGGCTCCATTTCTTCTTCCTACTTTGGATTTAATTTACCCTCTTTTGAGTTTCCTAAGTTGGAAACTTAGATGATTGATATTTTTAGGTACTTTTTTTTTATAATGCAGTTGTGGGTCACTTGAGAGTATGTTCTGAGAAATGCGTCATTAAGTTGTTTCCTTGTTGTATAAGCATTATAGAGTGTGCTTGCACACACCTATATGGGATAGTCTACATGTTGGTGTAGCCCACTGCTCCTAAGCTATAAATCTGTATAGCATGTGATGGTACTGATGAATACTGCAGGCACTTGTAGCACAATGGTGGGTGTATGTCTAAACATAGAAAAGGTACAGTAAAAATATGGTATAAAATATATAAAATAGTATGCCTATATAGGAGATTTACCATGGAGCCTGCGGGACTGGAAATGGCTTTGGGTGAGTCAGTCAGTGAGTGAGTGGTGAGTGAAGGTGAAGGCCTAGGTCATTACTGTTCACTATGTAGACGTCATAGACACTGAACACTTAGGCTATGCTAAATTTATAAAAAATGCTTTCTTCAAAAACAAACTAACCTTAATTATTGTGTTTTTTACTTTATAAACTTAATTTTTAAAAAACTTTTTGGCTGGGTATGGCGGCTTATGCCTGTAATCCCAGCACTTTGGGAGGCGGAGGTGAGAGGATTGCCTGAATCAGAGTTTGGGACCAGTCTGGGCAACTTGGCAAGTCTTTGTTTCTGCAGTAGATAAATACAAAATTAGCCGAGTGTGGTGGCACATGCCTGTGGTTCCAGCTACTTGGAAGACTGAGGTAGAAGGATCATCTGAGTCCAGCAGATCGAGGTTGCAATGACCTTGAGTATGTCACCACACTCCAGTCTGGGCAACAGAGTGAGATCCGACTCAAAACAAAACAAAACAAAACAAAACAAAACTTTCTGATTCTTTAAAAATAACGCTTAACTTAATACACAAACACATTGTACAGCCATGCAGAAATTCTTTTTTTCTTTATATTCTTATTCTATAAGCGATTATAGATCTATTAGATACTTTTTAATTTTATCTTTTACTTCTTAAATTTGTTTGATAAAAGCAAAGACACAAATACACAGAATCAAGATTATCAATATCACTGCCTTTCATTTCCTCATCTTGTCCCACTGGAAGGTCTTCAGGGACAGTAGCACACATGCAGCTGTCATCATCTGTGATAACAATACCTAAATCAGTAACACAGTCATTTATAATTATCAAGTATTATGAACTGTATATAATTGCATGTGTTGAGCTTTTATGCAATTGACAGTGCAAGTTTATTTACACCAACATCACCACAAACATGAATAATGGGTTGCTTATGATGTTATGACAGCTATAGTATCACTAGGTGATAGAAATTTTTCAGCTTCATTACTATTTTTTGGGACCACTGTCATGTATGTGACCTGTTGTTGACTAAAACAATGTTATGTGGTGCCTGACTATTCTGTATATTCATTCAGTGCTATAAATTTTCCTCTAAGTACTGCTTTTGCTACATCCCACAAGTTTTGGTAAGTTGTTTTTATTTTTATTTAGTTTAAGAGAAATCTTAAAATATTTCTATTTCCTTTTTTGATCCATGTATTATTTAGAAGTGTGTTGTTTAATCTCTGTGTATTTTAGGGTTTTTCAGTTATTTTTCTGTTATTTCTAGTTTAATTCCATTGTATGATTTATATTATTTTAATTTTGTTAAGGTGTGTTTTATGGCCCAGAATGTGTTGTGTCTTGGTGAGTATTCCATGTGAGCTTGAGAAGATGTATATTCTATTGTTGGATAAGGTAGTTTATAGCTGTCTGTTGTATCCAGTTGATTGCTATTGTTGAATTCAGTTATGTCCTTACTGACTTTCTGCCTGTTGTATCTGTCCAGTTCTTATATAAGGGTGCTGAAGTCTTTAACTAATAGTGGACTCATCTTTCTGGTTGCATTTCTGTCAGTTTTTTCTTTACATAGTTTGATGTTCTGTTAGATGCTCACATATTATCTGTTATTTTCTTTTTGGAGAATTGATCCCTTTATCATTATGTCATGTCTTTTATTCCTTATATTGTTTCTTGCTTTGAAGTCTTCTCTGTCTGAAATTAATATAGCTACTTATTTCTTTTGATTAGTGTTAGCATGATCTATTTTTATTAAGCTATTTACTTTGTGTCTTTATGTTGAAAGTTGGTTTATTGTAGACAATGTATGGATCTTATTTTTTGATCCATTCTGACAGTGTCTTTTAATTGGTGCATTTAGACTATTGATGTTCAAAGTTATTATTGATGTAGTTGGATTAATATCTAATATATTTTGTCACTGTTTTCCATTTGTTGCCATTGTTCTTTATTACTATTTTTGTTTTCTGTCTCTGCCTTTTGTGATTTTAAGCATTTTATGATTCCGTTTTCTCTGCTTTCTTTGCATAACAGTTACTATTATTATTATTTTTAGTGGTTGTTCTAGTGCTTTCCTATATACAGTTACAAGTAATCCAAGGCCATTTAAATAATGCTATAGCACTTCACAAGTAGTGTGAGTACCCTATTATAACAAAAATTCGAATTCTTTCTTCCTGTCCCATGTATCATTACCATCATTCACTGCACTTATATAAAGCATATATAAACATATATACATAAGTATGTGAGCCTACATATTCTAATACATTGTTGCTTTTACCTTTAAGATGAATTAAGTTTAATTAAAATTAAACTTACCTGCTAGATTAATTAATAAGACAGTTAATTTTATTTTATCATCACTTATTTCTTTCATGCTCTTCCTTTATGAAGATCTGAGTTTCTGACTTAATTTCTCTTCTCTCTAAAGAATTTTAAAACATTTTTTGCGAGGCAGTTCTACACAACATGTTCCCTTAATTTTTGTTTTTCTGAAAAAGTAATTATTTTTCTTTCACTTTTGAGGGATAATTTTGCAGGGTGCAGAGTTCCAGATTGGTGTTTTTTTTTTCTTTCATCACTTTGAATATCTCATTCCACTTTCTCTTTGTTTGTGTGGTAAGTCTTCATGAAGGGTAGTGTCTCCTGCCCCCCCCTCCCTTAACCGCAGCTTCTCTCAGGATTTAAAAAGTCTTTAATTTTCTGTAATTTAAAAATAATATGCCTAGGTATTGTTCTTTGTTTTTTTTTTCCTTCTTTCTCTCTCTCTCTCTTTGCATTTATTCTCCTTGGAGCTCTCTTAGTTTTTAGAACTGTGATTTGGTGCCTGCCATTAATTTGGGGAAATCCTCAGTCCTTACTGTTTGAAACATTTCTTCTGTTCCTTTCTTTTTGTTTTCATTCTGGTATTCACATTATGCTTCTGGTACATTGTAGTTGTCCCATAGTTCTTGGATGTTCTGTTCTGCTGTTTTCAGTTAGGTTTTGAGGTTTTTATCAAGTTCAGAAATTTTTCCTTAGCCAGGTCCAGTCTAGTAATAAGCCCATCAAATCATGCTTCCTTTCTGTTATAGTGTTTTTGATCTCTAGCATTTCTTTTTGTGCACAGGATTTCCATTTTTCTGCTTGTGTTGCCCATGTATTTGTGCATGCTGTTTTATTCGTTGGAGTCCTTAGCATATTATTCACTATTATTTTAAATTATTGGTCTGGTAATTTCAGCATCTCTCCATGTCTGTTTGTGATGCTTCAAAGTTCTGACTCTTCATATTGTAATTTCTTCTTGATAGTTGGGCATGATATACTATGTAGAAGGAGCTTGTGTAAGTAGCCTTTAGTGATGGTGGTGGTAAGCATAAGGTGGGGGAAGTAGGCCTGTGGTTAGGTCTCAGTCTTTCAGTGAGCCTCTAGACTGTGAACTGGCAGGTGCTTCTTGGTCTCTTCTTCCCTCTCACCCCATCTTAAGTGGGAATGGATGACCAGAGTTGGGTATTTTCCTTCCCCCAGTCAGTCAGAGTCTGATAAAACCCCAGCAGGCTTGGCTTTCATGAACCGAGGGAGAGCTATTAGGAATAAACCGCTCTGGCATCCTTCAGAATGGTTCCTTTTCCCCTTCTTCTGCTGGAAGTATCAGAGGATTTCTCTCCAGTATTTACCGTGAGAGCTTGGTCAAGCTCCTGGAGGTAAAACTCATGAGTGGGCGACTGTCATGTGGATGGGTGCTGGTGGAATTTTTATTTCTCAGACTTGTCCACACTGAGGCTCCAGAAGTTTATCAGTTACTGTTTAGGTTTTCCTCCCCACTTACTGGTTCCCTCTGCTGTTTCTGCCTATGACTCTGTTCCAATAAGCTGTGACTCCCTGTCTTTACGTCTGTCTTTGCTGTCTTAGGGATTGTGGTTTGTCCTGTATCTTCCCCTCTCTAATGAATTGAAGGAGAGTTGTTGATTTTTTTTTCCAGTCTGCTCAGCTTTTACCTGTCAAGCTGGAGTGGTGACTTTCAAGATCCTTACGTAGGGTCCTGGATATCGGAAGTCTGTCTTTTTTTTTTTAACTTAAAAAAAAGTAGCCTTTTCATAAGACCATTAGTGGAGAAAATGAGAGATGGAAAGGAAAACTTGTTAACTTCAGGTGGCACTGAAGTTTGAAAGAATTAAACTTCTTGGATGAAATTATTTTAGAGTTGTCTGTCCATTTCAGAGAGTTGTGCTCTCCTGTCACTTAGGATTTGTAGATTGACCATCAGTGGAGTTCATCAGAGTCTTACTTGTATTGGGGATGCTGAAACATGCTGACTTGATTTGCCTGAAAAGAATTTGGGAGGGAAGTTAGATGGGAGAGGAGTGATTGAGGATTACAAGAAACAAAATTGACCATGAGGTGATAATTGTTGAGGCTGAGTGAAAGTTTTCTACCTTAGTGCAGTTTGAAATTTTCTGTAATTAGAATAATGTGAAAACAGTGTCATTCACCACCACGCCTCACCACCCTGGTTCTATAGAAACAAAGTGATTCAGTCTGGGAAATAAGAGGGGTCTCTTTTGTGAAACCTAGACCCCTGTGGGAATTTTTTTTCTTTCCTGTAACTTACCTGGGCAGAATTAAGTAACATCTCTGTCATATTATGGCTAACTTCTAAATAGGAAAATTATTATTTGTAGTCCTTGGCCACTTCTTTATTACTTGAGATTGATATTTATGATAGTTGATTGAAACAAACACTTATACAAGGACATTAGCTTTCATTTATTATATTATATTGATGATTGATGTCCCCCGAAAGGCTACTTTCTATCTTTATTGAGTTAAGACGTAACTAATGCTAATTGTGGTGTTAATCTAAGTATCTTTCACTCATTCAGCATCGATGCTTAGAAAAGGCTGACCGTGTTGTTTCTTTTTATCTGTGTTATTTATAATATGCAAGAGAATCAAATTTATGTCTAGTTTAATTTTAGTCTAATCTGGTTCATAGATGAGAAATAGTTATTCACTTGAAAGTACTAAAGAACATAGGAAAATACTGCTTGCTATTTTCAGCCACTAAAATTGGAATGTCTTATTTTAACTTTTAACTTTTTGTTACAAAGAATCAATCCAGAAAAACTTATAGATGTCCAGAAAAAATTGGAAGCCTTTTTAGCCCAAGATCAAGATTTAAAAGAAAGAGCTCAAAGGGTAAGTCATTTTTGAATTGGATACTTTTATTGGAATGGAATGTTACAGTAAAGTTCACATTTTCTGCTGCTTCTGGAATGCATGGTCATGCCTCAGATTTTCAAGCATTGTAATTTCCAGATAGAAAAATGTAACTTATTCCTTAAAAATTTGAAAAATTTATTTTGTATAAACTTGGGAAAATCTCTATTTGTCTTTTTTTTTGGAGTCAATGTCTCACTCTGTCACCCAGGCTGAAGCACAGTGACACAATCACGGCTCACCACAGCCTTGACCTCTTGGGCTCAGGCAATCCTTCCACTCAGCCTCCTAAGTAACTGGGACTACGGGCACACACCATAATGCCCAGCTAATTTTTCTTTTCTTTTTTTTTTGAGGTGTAGTCTCACTCCATCGCCCAGGCTGGAGTGCAGTGGCATGCTCACACCCCAGCGTCGATCTGCTGGGCTCTGGCGATCCTTCTGCCTCAGCCTTCCAAGTAGCCGGAACTATAGGCACATGCTACCACACCTGGCTAATTTTTTTTATTTCATTGTAGAGACAAGGTCTCACCATGTTGTCCAGGCTGGTCTTGAACCCGTGGGCTCAGGCAAATTTTTTGATTTCTTTTTTTGTGTGTGTGTGTAAAGATGAGGTCTCACTATGTTGCCTTGGCTGGTCTTGAAATCCTGGACTCAAGCAGTCCCCCTGCCTTGGCTTCCCAAAGTGTTGGGACTATAGGTATGAGCCATTGCATTCATCCTCTATTTGTCTTTAGGTATATGGAAAATCCTCATAAAAATGATTTTTAGATGCACAGTGGCCTGATTTCTAGTATACTTGCTAAAGTTCTCAACTTTCTATTTCTTCAGTAAAGTTGCTGTAACTCCTGACTGTGCTCTCTTGACTGTAAGGTTAATATCTTTTTATGTTAGGTTAAATTTCCAGAAAACACAGAACTGTTTCTAAATATCTTTAGGAATGAGATATTCATCTATAAATGTCTTAATGTTCCCAATTTACTTCTCTGAACTTAAAAATCTTGACTAGCAAATTCATAAAGAAATCATTGTTTAATTTTATTTTTCCTTCTTTCTTTTTTTTTTTTTTTTGAGTCAGAGTCTCACTCTGTTACCCAGACTGGAGTGCAGTAGCATGCTCCTGGCCACCGCAGCCTCGACCTGCTGGGTTCAGGTGATTCTTCTGCCTCAGCCTTCCAAGTAGCTGGAACTCTAGGCACATGCCACCATGCCCGGCTAATTTTTTGATTTATTGTAGAGATGAGGTCTCACCAAGTTGCCAAGGCTGGTCTTGAATCCCTGGGCTCAGGCAATCATCTCACCTCGGCCTCCCAAAGTGCCGGGATTACAGGCTGAGCCACTGTGCCTGGCATGTTTTTTTATTTTTATTTTTGGAGTCGTAGTCTCACTCTGTCTTCCAGGCTATAGTGCAGTGGCATGCTCATGGCCACCGCAGCCTCGACCTGCTGGGCTCAATTATTCCTTCCACCTCAGCCTTTCAAGTAGCTGGAACCACAGGTGCACTCAACTATGCCTGGCTAATTTCTTGATTATTGTAGAGACGAGATCTTGCCAAGTTTCCCAGGCTGGTCTCGAATCCCTGGTTCAGACAATCTTTGCAAAGTGTTGGGATTATAGGCATGAGCCACTGTGCTTGGCATAATTTTATTGTTTTAATTGATAAATTATATTTATGGTGTGTAACATGTTTTGAAATATGTATACATTGTGAAATGACTAAATAATGTTAACTAACATAGACATTACCTCACATAGTTATTTGTGGTGAGAGAAATCACCTTTAGGTTAAACTTATTTTTTTTTTCATTCTTAGAGTATCCAGCAATAGATGCTTTGGAAACAGAAGATGTGAAATTATTTTGCAGTGTGCTTTCCAGTCTATCCAATATTTGAAATAATGCTTATTTGAGTTCCTATTACGAGACTCTTCATTTTCACCACTCCTGCACTGCCTTATATTGCAGTCACGAGATCTTTGCATATCCCACAGCACAACAGTGAGCTAGAGGGTAGGGGTTCAGAGTCTGAATTCTGTTTCAGCAGATGGGTGAAGTGGGAGGGAGAAAACGAAGAGGAGATATGGAGAGGCCACCCTGAGCTGATGGAGTAGTTTGAGCAGAAACATTGAATAGTCATACTTTGGTTTTTTGAGTCGGAGTTTCACTCGGTCGCCCAGACTGGAGTGCAGTGGCCGCTCCCGGCCACCGCAACCTCGACCTGCTGGGCTCAGGCAATCCTCCCGCCTCAGCCTTCTGAGTAGCTGGAACTACAGGCACGAGCTATTGCGCCCGGCTAGTTTTTTATTTATTATAGAGATGGGGTCTCGCCAAGTTGCCTGGTTGGGTCTCGAACCCGCGGACTCAGGCAATCCACCCGCCTCGGCCTTCCAAAGTGCTGGGATTACAGACTGAAATAGTCATACTTTTATGTGACAATTTTGAAACTTGGTGTTCCCAGCAAAGAAGTAAGTTTTATTTGAAGAGCAGATCTTACATTTTTTAATATTATATTTGTATTTTACCAAATACATTTTACAAAAATATCATTGTATTGCTTAACACAAGATTAATGATGAAGGGTAAAATGTGAATGTGTACTGTATGACAGGCACTTACTTGGTCATGAAATGACAATACAGTTTTGCTTAATCTATTACAACAATCAGTGAGGTAGGTGATATTGATTTGATTTTATAAATCAGTAAATTCTAGTTTGAGAAAATAAAAAATTGTGTAGGGAAACAAAGTTAATAAGTGGCAAGCCTGAGATTCAAATCCAGGTCTGACTTGAGAACTATGATGTTACATCAGGAGAAATGAATTCCAAAATATGAGAGACCCAAATGGTGAACTAGCGAAGCTGAACCTGTATACATTCACTTCACCTGAAATCCAGTGAAAAGGGTCCTCGAGCACATTGGTAGTTTTCTTTTTTCTTGAAATATTTGGACATGCAAACATTTGTTTACATGTTTTGTCTAGCAAACATACCTCAGGAGTTAAAACCTTCTAGGATCTTTGGAAGTAGTGTACACATTTAAAAATAATATATGAATTCTGATCTGTTGTGACTTACTGCATGCCTAGGAGGTCATTCAATTAACTATCAGGAAATATGAAGCATTTGAAGGATGTTGTTTCACTGGTTGGTGCATATAACAAATGAGCCTTCCAGAACACAGATTATAGAATAGCACCTTGAAATAAATGATATGATTTATTGGGTGTCATGCATGGTTTAGCAGGGTGGCTAACTGTGTTGCCAGCAGCAGCAAGCTATCTAGTTTCATAGAAGTGATTTTCTGGCTTTTGATTATAATCTGGATAGAACAGAAACGATAAGCAACTGGGGTGATTGCTTGTGGACAATTGCAGGGGAAAAAATTATCCTTGAACTGGTACCATTCATTGTTTTTCATACCTGTGGAGACAGAAAATGGTTTGGAGATTAGTTGGGTAGAGAGGATTAGTGTAAAGCTGGAAAAAAAAATGAAGTTTAGGAAATATGGAGACAGGAGTGAAATTACTTTAAGAAAATTCAGCTTAAAAAAAATACTTGCTTAGATGTGTTGTGTTGTCTGTTTATTTTACAAATGGATAAAGGATCAGGACCCTGCTTACATTTGGGTCTGTGTAGGTCTGACATGAAAATAGTTGTTGGTTTTTTTTTTTTTTTAAGATAAACAGAGGGAAAATGTTTCAACTTAATGGTGAATTACTTGAAATCATAACAAAAAGGAAAAGCTCTAGTAATAAACTTTTTCCTGTTATGATTTTATTAAGTTTCTTTTTTGAATAGTTGTCTCACTCTCTCTCCCAGGGCAGAGTGCAGTGGCACACTCATGGCCATTGCAGCCTCCATCTGCGGGGCTTGGGCAATCCTTCCACCTCAGCCTTCCAAGTAACTGGAACTACAGACACGTGCCACCACGCCCAGCTAATTTTTTTTATTTATTGTAGAGATGAGGTCTCTCCAGGTTGCCCAGGCTGCGTTTGAACCCCTGGGCTCAGGCAATCCTCTTATCTCAGCCTCCCAATTGCTGGGATTACAGATGTGAGCCACTGTGCCTGGCTGATTTTATTGTTTCTACACAGCAAAATAAAAATTGATCCTTAGACACGATAATAGCTATATCAATAACTAGCATTTATTGGTACTTATTACCATATTCCAGAAGAGATGCTAGGTATTGTGCATGCATTTTCCTCATTTTATTATCATAACACTCTAAGTAGAAGGTACTGCTAATATTCCTTTTTAGTATTAAGGAAGCTGACTTGTAGAGAAACAAAACATTTGTTCAGCTAGTAAGATTTGGAGCTCAGAGTAGATCCCAAATTTATATGATTCCAAAGCCCGTGTTTCCCTTATTGTATTGGAATAATCTTAACTTCTAAAATAGCCTTTTGGGAAGATGATATTCTGGGTTAGGTTGGCTTGATGAAATCAAATGCAAGGTCTTTTCTAATATTACATTTTTAAAAGGTAGGTTTTCATGTGTGTGGAATGGAGCTATGATGAAGTATTTTGTAGTTTTTCATTACTGTTGAATTTATCCCACTGGTTAGTTTTTTTTGGGTCTAAACTCATTTTATATTTCTATTATATGTCACACTTTTCAACCTCTTGTTTTTCAGTGTTTTGTCTCCTATGTACGTTCAGTATATCTGATGAAGGATAAGGAAGTGTTTGATGTGAGCCAGTTACCTGTTCCTCAATATGCCCGGTGAGTATTCGTAAGTAGTTTCGATACTGAATTCTTAGAACTAGAGGAAATTTGTTTCAAAACCGATTCTTTGAGAATCCTAATTTAAATGACTATGCCTTATCTTAAAAAAATCTGTTAAAGATCTGAAATGAAAAAGGTTAAATCAACTCTGTAGAAAATTAATCAAGTGTTCAGTTTTTATTGTCAGGAAGAAGTTTCTTATTTGTAGGTATAAATTCCTTAAAGTGGCATTGCCTTTTCCTACAGGTTTATCTTAATGGAGATGGAGAACAACTATAAGTGTTCTTTGAAATCTTCAGATATCTGTAGCCTTCTCTTGAACCTCTGGCCTGGATTACCATAGACATTTATGCTTTGCATATGAGTCTTTGTGCTGGTTTTTCTTATGGTAGGCTGTTTTCCCTTATTGCTTGACTATTCCTTCTGTCTTGATGTTTCTTACAGGTACTCATAGTTACCATGGCAAGGTGTTCCTGTTTAGAAATGGAGGTTGCTATTGTGTGAAATGGAGTGATTGGTTTTGCTTTGTTTTAGCATTTGAGGGATTGTTTTTTAACCTTTTGATATACAAAGGAGAAGTTATCCATTTTTCAATGAGATCCTACCCATAAGAGTGGGACAGTGTTCACAAAATCCTATAGAAGCACCCTTGAGGTTAATCGTACTTTGAATAGCAGCATAAAATTTTCCAGACTGCGGTGAATTGTTTGTTTATAAGACTAGCCCTCTATATTTGGCCTGCTCTCTAGGAATTTGAGTGCTTTTACCTTTAAATTATGTTGAACAAAAACTTGTATTGGGTGAGCTGCTGCTTTCTATTCTTTGTTGGATTGTACGTTTAACATAACAGATAATTTGTTGGTTGTAACATTTTTGAACGCTTTAAATTGCTTAGGCCACTGACTTTCCATTTAAGTAATAGATGGAAAACTACATGCCATGGATAACAAGTTTTTGTTTGCTTATCTATTTATGTTCCAGTTGCTGTTTTTACTGTTTCTGAATATGATTCATGGGTTAGGTTATTAGCTGACTTTTTGAAGTTCTGTCTTGGTTTTCCAATGTCAAATGGCTGAGATATTTGCAGATAGGAAGGGCAGAGGTTTTAACCCTGCAAGGCCATATTTAGGGACCTTTCAGTGGATGTTTTCTTGTAGCAGATTCCAGTAAATAGTAAATCTTACCTGTAGTTGAAGACTTGCTTTTAGTGGTGCTTAGATAACACAGCAAGAAATAAACTTTAGCTTACATTTTAGTATAGTTGAATTTGGTATTTTTAGTTAAATTTTGTATGCATTTTTAGATTTGTAATTTCCTTAAGGTATATGATTTCCTTCAAAAGAAGCCTTTGATACCTAAAGCAGTGCTATGTATATAAGATATAGTAAGAATTTAAAACATTTTAACAAAGAAATGTGTTCTGAATACCTTATGTGCAGGTCATTTTTTTTTTTAAGTTGGAATCTCACTCTGTAGCCCAGGCTGGAGTGCCGTGGCACACTCACGGCCACTCCAGCGTCAACCATGCAGGTCATTTTATTGGATGGTAAAATTGTAAAGTTTTAATAGGTCCTGCTACCTTCAGGGAACTCAGGTTTAGTAGCTGAGAAAGACACATAAATGTAAGTGGAATAGCTGAGAGACTCCTCTGGATCAATTTGTGATCCTAACTCCTAGCATCGGCAATTGTCATAGTGATGGCAGTATGTTCTCAGTAGTTGCTTATGTGCCAGGCTCCACTTTTAAGTGCATGACATCTGTCAACTGGTTTATTCTTACAACAACCTTGTGAGGTTTTGCAAATGGAAAAGCTCAGATATCAAGGGATTAAATGATGTTCCTGAGATTACACAGCTCATAAATGACAGAGTTAGGATTTGAACCTCGCAGTACTATTTCTGAACCCATGCTCTTCAGCACTACACTTCTTAGTGTCTGTGAAGCATGTCACACAGGAAGAGAGCAGTGGGTCCATATTATAATGCTAGCTGTTTATTCAGAAAAGTCCTTGTCTTAAGATTTTATTTCCAGTCCTTCAGTGGGAACTTAGTGAAAGCTGTTAGCTTTGATCCAGGCTGGGAAAGAGCTGATCTCAAATTAATTCTTGAACTTAGATGGAGAAAACAAGATTTTCTTTTCTTTTCTTGGTCTTTGGTTTATAACAAAATCTATTTTTAAAAAATAAAAACATGGTGCCACGTTCTGTTTCATGAGGGGAGTTGAGGGTTAATGATATACTATTCTTTGCAGAGAATCATGTTTTGCCCTTTCTGGTCATATCTTTTCTGGTTTATTTAGTACTTAACATTTTATGAAGTACTTTCATATAGTTATTTAATTGGACCCTCACAATGACTTTGAGCTAGGCCTGGCAGGTGTTATTATTCCATGTTATGAGAAAGTTGGAGGTGAGTGAATTGGAAATTGGCAGGTCTAGTACTTGAACTGTGATCATCTTGTTTCTGGTCCAGTGCTCTTTATCTTATTCTATGTTACTCTTTTAAAGAAAAACTGGCATCTGAAATGCTTTCTTACAGGTGTCTGGTGTATTTCAGCTTGCTTTTTGGAACATCTAACCTATTAGTATTGAGCTGTGTCTTTGAAGGATGTTTTTTTCTTTTATACAAAAGCTCTAGAACCGTATCTCTGTTCTTGAGACACTGTCCCGCACCTGTAAATATACCATTGGTGTTTGAGATAATCACTTCTGTTTTTTCTATATTTAAGGTCTCTTGGTCTTGCTGTGGCACCGCGGGTAAGATTTCTTCAGAAAATGCAGAAGCAGCCCACTGAAGAGTTGGTAATGAGCCAAGTCAATGAAATAATTGAGCCAAGGGCTCCCTCCCTCACCAATGATGAAGTGGAAGAATTTAGAGCCTACTTCAGTGAGAAAATGTCCATCCTTCAGAAAGGTGGGAAAAGGCTAGAAGGGACAAAGTGCAGACTGGCTAGCGGTGTTAATGATGAAGAACAGGAAGAAGAGGGGGAAGAGGAAGAAGGAGAAGAAGAAGAAGAAGAAATGGAAGACAAACTGGAAAAAGCAAAAGGACCTCAAGCTCAGCCTGTTCTTAACACTAGTGAGGTGCAGAAGATCAAGGAAGTTCCCATGCAGTTCTTGGACAGAGATGAAGAGGACGAAGATGCTGATTTTCTTACGGTGAAGCGGCGCAATGTGTTTGGGTTGGACCTTAAAGAGAGTAAAGTGTTACAGGTAAGTTTACTACCAGTGGAGGGTCTCCTGTTATGTCGGCTTACTGTGTGCTAGTTGTTGCCTTTTGGGGACTCAGGAAAAGTGAGAACTAAGAAAAACTTAAAATTATTTGCAGTGGACTCTTCCTCCTTCCCCTCATGTTTAAACAGAATAAGTGCCAGATGATTCTCATGGTTTTCATAACTTTGGGAACTCAGAGAGGTTGACAGCTTTATCAGAGCTTTCTGATGCTCTGTTTTAAAAGTAGCCAGAGTCTTGGTTATAACAAAGGAAGGTGATGAGGGCTCATGGTTTATGGCCTGAGGATTCTTTTTTTTTTTTTTGAGTTGGAGTCTCACTCTGTCGCCCGGGTTGGAGTGCAGTGTCACATTCATGGCCACCCCAGCAACTGACCTGTTGGGCCCTGACGATCCTTCTGCCTTAGCCTTCCAAGTAGCCTGGACTGCAGGCGTGTGCTACCATGCCTGGCTAGTTTTTTTTTATTTTATTGTAGAGACAAGGTCTCGCCATATTGCCTAGGCTGGTCTTGAAGCTGTGGGCTCAGGCAGTCCTCTCGTCTCGGCTTCCCAAAGTACTGGGATTATAGGCTTGAGCTGCTGTGCTCGGCCATTGCGATTCTTAACATAGCGCTATATGATCGATTAAATTGTAAGGAACAGTTGTAATTATTTAAATCTTTTTATACGTGAATTTTAATGAGACATTTGCTTTTATTGGGAACCAAGTTAGTATCCTAAGTAGAATTGGAGCACTTTTTTTTAAAGGCCAACTTATGAAGGCTTATTAAAAGCTTTTATGTAGATCCTTTGTTTCTCTATAGCCATCTGCTAGAAGGAACAAAAGAAATAATCCAGATAAAGCACCTGTTTTCTGGTATGCTTACGGGTTCACTGGAAATGTGTTTCTCTTTCTCCTCCCTTATTCCCCTTTATTCGATCATCTTCTAAAAAGAGAATTGAATAAAACATAAAGCTCGATTCTTATTATTTATATACTGTTTAATAAGATTCCAGTACTTATAGTAGTAGGAAATATATAGTAGATTTTGAACCATGAAACTTGGAAAAGTGTTTCTTTAGGTAACTAAATAAAAAAAGCAGCAAACGTGTTTATTGAGCACTTAATATGTGTTGGATATTTTCTAAACCTTATTGTATTTGGTCTTTGAAATACCCTATGAGATAGGTACTTTTGTATTGTTAAACAGGTGAGGGGGAAAAATCCTGTGGCACAGAGACAATATGATACAGTAGTGTGGTTCACATCTTGTAAGTAGCAGAGCTGGAGTTTGACCCGAGGTATTCTGACTTTAGTATTCATGCTCTTGACCAATAATCTTACACTGTCACATGCTGCTTCAAATTAAACCATTTTAAGTCTGCAGCTATGTCTCATTTTAACTGCAGTGAAACAAGAATAAGAAGTTAGATTTGTTTTAAATTATTTAGTCAATGTATTACTCTTTGCTACTTTCTAGGAAGCATGAATATAATTAAAGGGACAAACAAGATGGTAAAGGAATGATGTAACTTTATAATGACTTGTGAATTTTTCACATAAGTAAGGCATGTGTCTAAGGATTAATAGCTCTTGTGGCATTTGAAAAATTTAATATATGTGGTGAAACAAGCCTGGGCATGGTAACTCACGCCTGTAGTCCCAGCACTTTGGGAGGTCAAGGCGGGCAGATCAGTTGAGCCCACGATTTTGAGACAAGCCCGGCAACATACTGAGACTTCATCTGTACAAAGAAATAAAAAAATTAGCTAGGCATGGTGGCATGCACCTATAGTTCCAGCTACTCAGGAGACTGAGATAGGAGGCTCAACTAAGCCCTGGAGTTTGAGGCTATGGTGAGCCATGATTATGCTTCTGTACTCTAGCCTGGGAGACAGAGTGAGACCCCGACTCAAAAAAAAAAAAGAAAAAAATATGTGACAAATATATATGACAAAACAACTTTTAAACTTTCTAACTTTCAGTTATCTAAGTTAAACTAACTTTTTAAAGCATACACTTTGAATTTTGACAAATATATGCTGTAGTGTAGTCGTTAGCACTATCAAGAATGGTGTCATTACTCCACAACATTTCCTGATCCGTTTTGCAGACAATTACATTACCCTACACTCAACCTTTAGTAATGACTGATCTGATTTCTATGCTTATAGTTTTGCATTTTTCAGAATGACATGTAAATAGAACAATATAGTATGGAGCCTTTTGTGTTTGCTTTCTTTCACTTAGCATAATGTTGCGTGTATCAGTAGTTTGCAGTAGTTGGTTTCTTTTAATTGCGAAGTAATTTTTTTAAATTTTAAAAATATGGGGTACAATTTAGGGTCAGGTATACAAATGATTATTATGCAGGTACCCTTGATGATGAAGTGTGCCCCTTCCCCCTGGCGATTTCCCACTACTGCCAATCCCTTTTTTATAGTATTATGATGATTGTTTAAGGTCTACTTACGGGTGGGAACATGTGGTACTCAATTTTTTGTTTCTACGAAGTCCATCCAAGTTGCTGCGAAGTTCATAATTTTCTCCTTCTTTATAGCTGCATAATATTCTATCGTGTATATGTATCACATTTTTTGTATCCAGTCCTCTTTCAATGGGGGGCACTGTTGGTTCCATGTTTTTGGTATTGTGAATAATGCTACAATAAACATGTGTGTGCAGGTATCTTTTTCATAGAGTGATTTGAGTTCCTCTGGGTGTAGTCCCAGAAGGAGGATTGCAGGATTGTATGGAAGGACAATTTTTAGATCTTTTAAGAATTGCCAAACTGTTTTCCACAGGGCTGAGTAGTATTTTTGAATGGATGTACCACAGGTTTTTTTTTTTTTTTTTAAATGGCCATTGCTTATTTCCAGTTTTTGGTGATTTGTGACAAAAGTCACTATAAACATTACATACAAGCTTTTATGTATATAATTTTCTAATTTCTTTGGAGTGTGTAGTACGAGTAAGGGTTGCTGGGATGTATGTTAAGTGTAAATTTAACTTTGAGAAAACTCCCCAGTTGTTTTCCAAATTGGTTGTTCTAATTTGTATTCCTGCCAGCAGTGTATGGGAGTTCTAGTTGCATCAAATGTTATCAGTACATGCTAATGCCAGTCTTATTAATTTTAGCCATCTAGTAGGTATGTAGTGATATCTTATTGAAATTTTAATTTGCATTTCCCTAATAATTGAGCATCTTTTCACAGGCTTATTTGCTATTCCTATATCTTTGGTGAAGTGCCTGTTTAAGTTTTTTGCCCCTCTTAAAAATTGTGTTGCTTTCCTTATTAGGAGTTTTAAAAAATGTATTCTGGGCACATATCTTTTATCAGACATATTTTGTATTTTCTCCCAGTCTTTTGCTAGGTTTTACTTTAAGCGTCTTGCAAAGAGGAGAAACCTTAAATTTTGAAGTCTGATTTATCACTTTTAAAAAATTTATGTATGTGTCACATCAGATAAATCTGTGATTAACCCAAGGTCACAAAGATTTTCTCTTATGTTTTTTTAATAGAGGTTTTTTTTTTTTGTTTTTTTTTTTTTTTGGCTTCAGATCTCATTCTGTTGCCCAGGCTGGAGTGCAGTGGTGGGATAATGGCTCACCACAGTTTCGACCACCTGGGCTCAGGTACTCCATTCACCTCAGTCTCCTGAGTAGCTGGAGAAACAGGCACATGCCACCACACGTGGCTAATGTTTTGATTTTTTTTGTAGAGATGGGGTCTTGCTATGTTGCCCAGGCTGGTCTCCAACTCCTGGGCTCAAGCAATCCTCCTGCCTTGGCCTCCCAAAGTGCTGGGATTATAGGTGTGAGCCTATAATCGGCCTATTCTAGAGCTTTTATACTTTTAGCACTTATATTTAGGACTAGGATCCACTTAAACTTTGTTTTTGTATATGGTGGTAGGTAAGGGTCAAGGTTCACTTACTTTGCATATGGGTATCCAGTTGATCCAGTACCATTTGTTTGAAAAGGCTGCTTTTTCCACTGAATTACCGTGACTTTGTTGAAGTTGGTTGACCACGTAAGTCTGGATCTCTTTGTGCACCCAGTTCTGTTCTATATGTCTGTCCTTTCACCAACAACACACGTCTTGATTAGTGTCGCTTTATTGTAATTCTTAAATCAAGTAATGTCAGTCTTTTAATGATACTTTTTCAAATCGTTTTGGCTATTTTTGGACCAGTGCATTTTCATTTAAGTTTTTGAACCAGCTAGTCAATTTGTACATTAAACCTGCTTATGTCTTCAGTGAAGTTGCATTAAATCTATAAATCTGGAGAGAATTGACATCTTAACAGTATTGAGTCTTCTGATCCATGAATATGCTCAATCTTTCCATTTATTTAGGCTTCTAATCTCTTTTCACATTGCTTTGTAACTTTAAGCACAGGTGTCATGCACATGTTTTGTTAGAGTATCTCTTACTATTTGATATTTTTCAATGCTATTATAAATGATACTTTAAAAAATTTTGATTTCTATTTCTTTGTTGCTGGTATATAGAAATACAATTTTTGTATACTGATCATTCTAAACTGACCTATTAGTTCTAATTGCTTTTTTTTTTTTGAGTTGGAGTCTCACTCTGTTGCCCAGGCTGGAGTGCAGTGGCCGCTCGTGGCCACTGCAGCCTCAACCTGCTGGGCTCTGGTGATCCTTCCATCTTAGCCTTCCAAGTAGCTGGAACTACAGGCACGCCCTACTACACCCGGCTAATTTTTTGATTTATTGTAGAGATGAGGTCTCGCCTGCCCAGGTGGGTCTCGAACTCACGGGCTCAGGCAATCCACTCACCTCAGCCTTTTTTCAGAGTTCTTTGGGATTTTATCTGTAGCAGATTATGGTGTTTGTGAATAATGATTTCATTTCTTTCCTGTGTGCCTTATATTTCTTTTTCTTGCCTGATTATACTAAGCTGGGATCTGTACAGTAGCAGTGGGAAGGGTAGATATCACTGTGTTGTTCCTGATCTTTGAGAGAGGGAAGCATT